CAGACCGCTTCTGATTCAGTTAGTCTGAGGTGGGGCCTGAGCGTTTACTTTTCCAACACGTTCCCAGGTGATGCTGAAGATGCTGGTCCAGGGAACACACTTTGAGAACCACCAGCTGAGAACAATGCCTGGCACACACGCATAAATGCTTGAAAGCGTTAGCCGTTGTTACTATTGTCATTATTTTTGCCCGCCTTATAACTCTTAAACAACCTCAGCAAAAGCTGTCCTGTTGCCTTCCATGTCTGACAACTATTTCTCAGCCCTTCCAACTCCATCTTGACTTCTCATAGCCACTAAATCTCTGAGTGCTTCCGCTTAACTTGAACACCACGTTTCAGCCATCTACCCTACCTTCCACCCTCCTCCCCCACCTCGGGTGCCCTAAACCTGGCTCCTAGATTCCTTGCCGAGTCTATAGGAAGTCACCCAATTTCATCCATAATGGGTTCCTGAAAACACGTACTCAGGTGGAACAAGACGCTAACAGGGTATAAGAAGGCATTCTGTTCCCATAAAGCTAAGAAGGATTGTAAAATCCCTAATTAACCTCATCTTTGGAGCTCGTCTTCAGGTGATGCCTTTTTAGCATTCTGTACCTACATGTTCCTTCTTTACCAATTGAATGTGCAATAACCTAAGTCCATTGAGGCTAAAGATTTGCCATTTCAGCATGCCTATTGATTTTCATCTTTATCTCAATTATATTAAGCCCCACGGTTATCAATTTCAAGATTCATTTTTTCATTTATCTTCATAAAATCTGAGAAGGGTACAATAAAAATATTCAAATAATTGCATAAAATTCAAGTAATTGCCAGGGATAGTAAGTATGGCAGAGCTGCTGAAAGGTATTGGCTGGTGGGCCCCACAGACAATAGCCTGAAACATGAAGGGGTCTTTCCTGCAGCCCTCAGACTAGTACGACCCCTCCTCTCCCCTCACAGTGGTCAAGGAAAGCTTCTAGGCCACCCCAGTGTTCACAAACTCCACAAAGCCTTTCTTCCGAGTACTGGCCAAATCCAAAACGCAACCACGAATGACCTGCTCACCCTCCCCTCTTTCTTATCTTCTCACTGGAGCCCAGCTCCACTTGTCCAAAGCCTCTTTGTACACTGGCTCCAATTTTACCTTCAAAACATAATACATACGGATTGTCCCTGACTACCCTCTGTCCGCCTAATTATCTCTTTTTCCATTTGGGGAATTCCACTCATTTTAGAAGCCTTCCCAGACTGATCAAAAAAGAGCTGAAACTTTCCCCCAGCTCTTCACATTTCTCTACTCAACTTTCTATGGATTCCTACAAGTCCCATCTTTGTCCCTACAAAATATATTTATTCTGGGCCTTTACCATCCATTAGGTCTTCAGTCAACACACTACACTGTGTATTACCCATGTGGATGCATCTATGCCTCTGTACTGTCTTCAATTTCAAACTCCATGGTGACTAGGACACGTCTATAGGTCTCCTCTTTTGGCTTTCGGCCATGTGCCGTAAGCATAATGAGTCTTCTCTGAAAATGAAGAGCTAAGTAAGGGGATACAGACCTCCGGGACTCTTGCAGATATGAGCAGCAAATGGAAATATTTATATCTACCACTACCAGGCCATCCCTGACCTCTTGGCAATTGGGGCAACTAATTTTCCCTTTTCCTAAGTACTATCTTGTTCAGAGCCATTGTCTACAGACGGAGTTTCTGTATTAAGCAAAACTCTCTAGTTCCAACCAAAAGGAATTTAACTTTCTGGACTCAGGGAAAAGCTTTTAACAAACACAATGCAGCCAGCAGATGCAGGACAGAAAGTGCAACCCTTCCCATGGCCATGCCCTAAGCCACCAAGGTACCCAATTAGGCGACAGAAAAATGCAGAGCATTTCATATCATCAGTTCCCAAAGTTATAAGGAACCCATTATCCCTCAGAGCTGTTGCTAGGATATAGAGTTTCTCTTAGAAATCCCAATTTTCCTTCCGGGCACAATTCAAAACAGACAGGGGAAAAAGAAAAATCAATACTGGAAATGTCAAAGATTTTTCTGGCCAGTGTCTAATGGAAATCTCTCTGTGCTTCTGCGGATCAAAAGGCCTGTCTTCCCAGGTGTGCAGACACGGGATAAGCACTATTTTTCCACCTGCTTTCCCCCTGCCCTCACCTCAGGGCATATTCATTATTCTTCACTGAAGATATCCTTTCTGTGAGTTGTATTTTAAAGCTGCAAAATGAATGTGTTCACCTTCAAAAGCAGAAACCCAGAGACGGCTTTACAAGTGGTGGATGATATCAGGCTGGGGTTCTGGGAGGAGGCAGGCTTCACGGCTCAGTGCAGATAGTCGGAGGTGACCCTCTGACCCTTTTCCCCAATGAGAAACCCAGTGCCAAGCAGCCCATTTGTGACTTTCCCCAACAACCACATCCATGGCTCTGGGGTCTCACCTGTCCATCCCTGGGTTCTATTCCTTACTTGTCCCCAGACCTTCCTCCGTCCTTCTTGCTGGAGGAATGTACTTTTTGGAGCCCATCTGACTCTCCTTCTTGAAACTACATCTGCTAGTTGAACATGAAGGCTGGCCTCTGTAAGCCTGCCCTCCTGGATTTGCGTGCTCGTACGGACAGTTTTTCTTTGCATGGCTATGGAACCAGCCCGTTTTCAAGCAGCGCCTACATAGCATGGAACTTTCAGAGCCTGAGTCTCTCTTGAACCACCTTCACAATTTGGCCATAGCCAGGGCCACCTACACTATTATTCTTGGCATGCTGTTTTCTCAGATCAATTCACTTTTTTGGAACGTTCATGTTTCAAAAGGAAACCTCATTTGCCATAAACGCAACTCAATGATCAACTCAACGCAAACAAAATGGTGTGAACCAAATCCTAATTAGACAGCGTCCCCAGCTGAAGATACTAAGTTTGAGGGCTGCTCCCTTTTCGTTAAACAAGGGAGACCATCCAGTCTTACAGAAGTGTGAAAGACAGCGGCGCAAACCAAGCCTCTCCCTGGCACAAGCAGAAGCACTAAAGGAAAATAAGGGGAACATTTTCTAACCACAGGGCTAGTGTCCTTTAATGCCACTGCATGCATGGACCACCTAAAATTCCCCACGTATCTGTGGTGGACACCTCTCCTTCTTCGCCAAGAAGGTTTATTGGGCATCTACTGTACCAGGTACTTTCTAAAGACTAGAGAACCAAAACACATTAAAAAAAAAAAAAAGGCCCTGCACCAACATGAGACGTAAAACCTATATTTAAATAAACAAGGTCTAGGATAGCCTTCTCACCAGTCTATCCCCTTAAGCAAAAAGCCCCAGATTCAAAACTGCAAAAATTAGATCCCAGCCCATAGCCCCAGAGACTCAATATTCACCAAGCAGTTTCTCTGATTAAGTTCTCAATAGAAAATGACATGCGGTTATTAGCTGTTAAGTGTCTGGCATACTTTGCAAGCAGCATTAACTGCCCCCAAAAACCTCAGGGCCTCGCAGATAAACAAGTCCCCACCCAAATGCCCTTCCCCAACTGTCTTATGGTAGCCCCCAATGCCAAAAGACTAGCATTTAAAAAGCTGATTGAAACCATACCGAACCCTGTCTATTTTAAATGTCAATGAGCAAGGCAGCTGGGCGGGCAGGCTTCTCCAAGACTGACTGAAAAACCACTTCTCTATAGTTGGGTTTAAAAATCAATCAGTAGAGGCAGCAAGAGAAGGCTGTGAGGACAAGACTGACCTTTGAGTCAAGGGCAACTCAAAAGATTCACATTTGTGACTAATTATCTCTTTCTTAATCGTTATATTCATCTCTCCCTGGACAGGAGCTTTCTTTCAAGCAGCTGAGACATCTGACCTAACTGAATTCCAGGCTTCTGTAGGGTCTTGCTCTGTCCACATTAACAGTGGCTGTTTTCGTGTGTGGTTAAACAACTGACATTCGTCATTCTTTTAAAGTACGCATAAAAGTTTAAGCTTCTTGAATTGTGAAAAGAAAAATAAATAAATGAGGATGCCTGTGTTGTTTTAAAATTGCTTTGAACTGTCTTAAAAGTATGTTCTCCTTGGATACAGAATAATGTCACTAACCTGAAACCACGTATTTTTATGTTACTTTTCCATTAAAAGAGGCGGATTACACTAGGGTAACAAATATGCATATATAAAAATTTAATGAACACTTATTACTGCCTTACCTTGTGCTAGTCACTGTTCTAAGCACTTCATAAATAATAATTTATTTAGTCCTCACAACAACCCTATAAGGTTGGGTCCTATGACCCCTGTTTTTACAGAATAGGAAACTGAAACACAGAGAGGTAAAGCAACTTGCTCAAGGTCACACACCTTGTGGGTGGCTATGGTGGGTGTTGACCCCAGGTAGTCTGACTCTGAGGGTCATGACCTTGACCACTCCCCACTCCCCTATGCTGCCCGCACCCCCCACACACACACACACACATACTATGTGATGCGTGCTTTACATGTGTTATTTCATATAAACCATACAATGACCTATAAGGTAGGTCATATTTTTATTCCCGTTTTACAGATGGGGAAACTGAGGCACAGAGGTGAAGCAGCTTGCCCAAGACTCTCAGCTAGTCAGTGAAAAAAAGTGGGCACTCTAATTTTGCTGTTTATGCTAACAAGTAATAGGTTTATTATTTAAAAGAATTAAGACGTATTGTAAATTTTCTCAGGTTTAACTTCTCATATGGTGAAGCTAGACAGAGATAATCCAAATAAGATATAATTTTTAGGAGCATAAAGGGGTTCCTGAAACCAAAGGCCTGCCCAACACCGTAACCTCTGTAAGAGCGGGGACCACACCTGCCTTTTCTGTTTTTTGGCAGCAGTGCAGTGTGGTGCCCAGCACGTAGAAGGAACTCGGTATACATCATTTTGGATGGTGAAGGAATGCCCAGGTGTACAGTATTGGCCATCCCTCTAGGTACATGTCCCCACATGCACAACAGTGACTATGCTTGGACCCACACAGCTTACCTGGAAATAGTCTGTAATGAACGATCCAAGTTCACTCTTCAGCAGCCGCCTGGGGAGAGAGAGACACTGTCAAGCAGCCCTTAATGTTACAGCTCCTGGTGTCTAGTTCACAGACACATGACGCTGATGGAACGCTGACCAATGGCACAGAGACCGGGGCCAGGCCTCAGAAGGGTGCACTTTCCTCGGCCCTGGTAATATCCCTCCACCAATGTTGCTAGGGAATGGGGGTGATGGAAATCCTAGAGGGGGATCCTTCTGCAAAGTTCACTCTGCAAAGACCAAAACCATCTCAAGGGGGTAGCCACTGGAGATCCTGATTTTAATAGAATTGGTGGGGACAGGCCAGGGTACCTGGTTTCATGTGAAGCAAAGAAAACCCAAAAAAAAAAGGCAAGGAAGAGAAAGACCACAATTTTGTAATCCTCTACATTTGTAGACTTTATGGTTTAAAGTGCATTTTTCATACATTCTTTAACCAAAGAGGGGAAAGTATGTGTGCACAGGGGGAGAGACAATTATTATCCCTCCTGTGCAGATAAAGAAATAGAGGCTCGGAGATGTCCCCTAAATAAGTCAGTGGCAGAGTTAAAATTCAAACCCAGACCTTTTTTCAAATTCAACACCATTTCCCACAACCCCGTCCTGTCTCCTCCAAATGCCCCAGAGACATTCAGCTTGGTGCATGGTTTGGGCAGTCTTACCGCCCACCCCTGAGGGACTGAGGGAGTCCTTCAAAGGGGATCACAACGGGGAGAACAGAGTTTACTGATTCAGGCAACAAACAGTTTACTGAGGTGCCGCCCTTTATGTGCTAGACATTGTTCTAGCACCAGGTGCACAGAAGTAACCAAGATGGATGAGGTCTCTGCTCTCAGGAAGTTTCTATTCTTGGGGGGAGGGGTGTGGAAAGATAGCATGTCAACAGATACACGCACAAGGTAAGTTCTGAGAGTCTAAAGTGCCAAAAAGACAATTAAAAATAGGAATATTGGCACCAGGTCTCCTCTCCATGACAAATCACAGGACCATTCCTACTGCTCTCTTTTTTTTTTTTTTTTTAAAGATTTTTATTGGGTAATTGGGGGGATGGGAACAGCGCTGGGGAATTGGGGGAAGGGGAACAGACAAGTTGCTGTCGTTTTGTTCTTCAATCTAGTTGTGGAGGACGCTGCTTCACTGGCCCAAGTTGGCACCATCATTGCGCTCTTCCCAGGCGAGGCAGATCAGTCGCCGGCTTCTGGACGGCCGCTCACTGCGGCTGCTGGCCGCTCACGCTGGCTGCTCACGCTGGCTGCTCACGCTGGCTGCTCACGCTGGCTGCTGGCTACACACGGTAGCCCGTGGCAACCCACTGCAGCAGGGGCTGCAGCCTATGCCGTCGCCAGCAACTCATGGCAGCCCAGCTCCAGGTTGAGCTGTTGTTCAGCATCTTAGCTGTAGAGGGCAGTGTCACTGGCCCTCATATGTGGGATCCGAACCGGGGCCCTCTGGCATCCCAAGCGAGTTCTTAACCATCGCGCCACTCGGCCAGCCCCCTACTGCTCTTTCTTTAATTTGACCCAAACAAGATGAGAAAGCAGCACACAGGAATAACTGGTTCCCAGGTCCAGTGCGTTCCCTGGGGAGTACACTCTTCATGGTTTCAAATGACTTTATTTACTCAATCCATCAGCCATGGTTATTAAGTATTAAGAAGAAAAACACTCAAGCTTCTGACAACACCCACTGGGTATTAACTCCCCCCCAAAAAAACACGTTCCCATATGTTGCTATAGGATACATAAGTTCCAGCTAGATATCATTCTGTGCAGAACAGGCAATAAGACTGAGACAGAAGTAGAAGAGACATCCATGATCTAAATGTCTGTATTGAAAAAGAGCCCTGGAAAGCTGCAAACACGTGTTGAGCAAGGAAAATACCTTCCTTTTCCCATGATAGAGATGTGTCTGTGATGGGTACTGCACTTTGAGACCCAATTTAATGGCAGGCTCCTGGAAGGCCACCCCATGAACACAACACAGGGGTTCCCCCAGACGTGGGCAGGTGTGACAGACACAGAAGTCTCATCAATCACTGGGCCAACAGCAAGTGGGTCATTGTGGCTTTTTGAGGCTAGAAGCATCTCTCAGAAAAGAAACAGAAGCCCCGTGGGTAGCCCCAGATGGAGGCTTTGAAACAGGAGAAGGCAGGGAGGTTGCTTCTGATGCTGGAGGGAAAACCACCTCCCAAAAAATCTTGATGGCCATCGGGAAGTCTCAAAATCAGAGGTGAAGAGGCCAAGCTTCATCCAAAAGTGGGAAAACTAGTCCTATTAATGGGCTACTTTGAACAGTTTCCCCAGCATACCCTGGGCACTCATGATGCTAAGGGATTAACACAGTTCGGAGACCAAATGACATGCTATGGAATTGGCGTCCCAAGGAACCCACGCTGGGGACTCACTGTGCTCATGCAAATGCATCAGGTAAACGGAAAGAGAAAGAGCTCAGTGGTAAGGTAGGACTTCAAGGTCAAGGACTACGGAGACCCTCCTGAAACAAGGTGGAGGAGGGATCTACACAAGTGTAACAATCGTTAACCGGCGCTGGACATGATGACACAGACAATTATTACCCAGGGACATTTCACAGAGGCACTCTGAGAACATCATGATGCTACCCAACTGAGGAATCCAAGAGGTCTCCTCCCCTACCTCTCAGAGAGGACGGAAAGGCTGCCGGCTACAGTGAGGAGAAAGGCACGGCACCCTTATGGTACAGCCAGGGCTGCAGCAAGCCACGGTCAAAGTCAGAATTCTGCAGAGCATTACAGGAAGACAAAGCTTGAAGTAGAAATCAGCTGATTTCTACCTCAAAGGCTACGTGTGAACTTGATGCAACTGCCTAGACAAAGGCAATGCAAAAACGACTCTGAAGCTAAAAGCAGCCATACCAGGGCAGCGAGATGGTGATGGGTAAAAATAATGCATCAGAACACAGAGGTGCTTCCACCATGTTGATAAGGGTGATCCTTGTCCTTATTGAGGGACCAGACACAGGTGTGGGAATCTGCTTCATAGACTTCAGATGTCATGGACTATAACCAGGTTTGGTAAGAGAATCATACATTTGTCCTTTCATCAAGTCCTGAGTGCAAAACCCTCTCCACTAGGTATAGTCATATAGAATTATCTGAACAGAGTTGACCCTATCTGATCATTTAAGTCTCTTGTCCTGGGTGGACAAATCAGTAAGGTCCCCTGTCCCTTACAAAATCCTGTCTTATTTCAGTCTGAGCACATTATGAGTTAGACAAGGTCACTGGGAGTGAAACTACAGAGTTTTCATACTGCAAAATACAGGATTCGACATAAATGCATAGCAACAAAGTGCTCATAGAAAAATTATGGCTTATTCAGACAACAGAATTCTATGCAAGTGTAAGAAACAAAAGGAATTATATAAATGCCTAACCCCTATGCCGTACATCTAAAACTAATATAAAATAATACTGAAAGTCAACTGTAATTGAAAAAAACAAAAAAACAAACAAAAGGAAATGAAGAAGTGCTCTAAGTAATGCTATGAAAAGATCTAAATTACATGAAGTAAAAAGAAAAATGCAAGATGCAGAATAGTGCGTACGTATAACATGCTACTCTGTGAAAAAGAGAAAAACACATTTTTATTAACACAACACCAACAAATTCACCTGTCAAATCTGTTCTCACTTGCTGTTCTGTAATAGCTACATGCTTTGGTTCCCAGAAGGCCCTTGGAACTGAAATATATATACCCTAATTTTTAAACACACACAATGCACACATGCATTTTTTAAAATGATGTATAAATGCACTGGGTTTTGTTTCCCGCTCTCCATCTCCCCAAGTAAGAGGTTGGAGAAGGTTGAAGCTGCTGCTGGAAATTAGGGAGGGCCACAAAACACCTTAGCCAACTTGATTCCCTGACGTCCGGAGACGCTGGCTGCAGATGCCATATTGCCTTGTCAGGCCTCAGTCCCTGGGCCTTGTATAAAGTGTTGAGAATTCCCGGCTGCTTTTCCATAAATATTCCTTATATAGGCATAAAGAAGCCCTGGAAGAATAAACAATAAACTATTGCTATATTATCTTCGGGGGGATGACCATGAACTGTGTTTCTGGGGTACTGGAAAGGGAGATTCTTCACTGTGTGTGTGTGTGTGTGTGTGTGTGTGTGTGTGTATCTCATTACATATTTAAAATGTTTGTACCCTGTGAACACAATCCTATTCAAAACTATTAAAAAATGTGGGGTTTTTTTAATTATTAAACAATAACCACCACCCAAATTACCTGGATGGCTTGAAGGAGAGAACACATTGTGGGAGCGAGTTCCCATCAAGGGCACAATATCAGAAGCAGGTGTCCTGGGATAGCAGAGAATCCCACAGGCCTGAAAACCTGCCAGCCCAAAACCCCCTCAGGCTGGTAACCCAAGAATTTAACTCAGAAAGAGAAAGAGTGGCGAGAGGGCAGAGCTGGCCCAGCCGACCTGAGAGCAGACGGCAGCTGAGTCATACTGCAAACTCCATCTTCTATTTCTATCCTCCTGTGTGTTCTGCTTGCACCTCGCTCACAAGGAAAGGGCACTTCTGAAAAACTCTCCCCTGGTCTTAGCTGAACTGAGAGAAAGAGGACTTTCCCACCCCTCTGCCTTGATGCACCGCCTCCAGGAACTTGGCCGCGGCTTCCCTCCAAAAAAGGGAAGAGCAGCTGATAGCGAATAAGGACGCTGTGAACGAATCCACTGAATCACAGCCCTTTCCTGAAAACCTGTGATGTGTTAGACATGATGCCAGATGCTACAAGAAAAGGATGGAACAGCTCGGACAATGATTTCTTCCCCTCAGAGCCACTCTTTCAGGAGGCACAGGAGCACCATCTTCTCCAAAAATGTGGAGTCCAAGTATCCAGACATTAGAGATGTGCAGACCTAATTCTCAGAGGGACAACTCACCCTGCAGCCTTCCTTACTAAGTGTGTGGGCTTAGCTGTAAAGCACAAGAAGAGAAAAGCAGGAGAAAAA